CAGTCTGGTGTAATAATAGATTTGCTTCGGGTGTTTTGTGGAGTGGGTAAGACTGTTTTTAGTGGCAGGCTAACTATGGCCATTGACATGCACTAGCCTAGCACCAGCGACCTCTGCAAATACAAGGACTGGATGAAATATTTTAAAAAAGTGTCTCCACACGTCTCTAACACTCTGGCTCACTAGAAAATGAGGCCCTATGTTCAAAATTTTGGACTGTCCCTTTAACAGGGCCCCACTCTGGAGCCAGGCCTGGGGTGGGTGCTGGACATTGAGCATCTGGTGGCCCAAAGGAGAGACATGGGGCCATCCTCCTGTGGACCCACCATCTGCAGGAGGAGGGGCTTGTGAGGGGCCAGTGCAAAGTGATCTAGGTGTCAGTCGAAGGCCTCGACGACAGGATCTCTAGTGGCTCTGAGGGCATGGACTGTCACTTCGCTGAGGGGGAAGGAGCTGAGCTTGTGTTACCAATTAGATGTCGTCAGCCTCACCTCCACGCACAGCTTGGACTCTGGTACCCCATTCCTCAAGAAGGGACTGGACTCTTCATTTCTCTAGCATTGGCAAGAGGGTCGTTGGATGTTTCTTGAAGCACTGTACAAAAATGTGATTATTACTCTGTCTGAATTAACCTGCTTTGTCCCTTGTGTATTTTTGTGACGTTCTCAGTTTTGGCCTGATACTTGGTTTTGATTTTCTCTGAAGTCTTATTATATTTGAGAGAATCACAGTGAATCACAAACCCACTGTCACTGATTGTTTAGCTAATTTTCTCTTTGGGAGTCTGTCTGGCACTGACTCGCACTAATCTTTTCAAAATAAAAACAAACATATTTGAAAGACTTGCCGGGCAGTATTTCCTAATTAATGCAGTTTTGATACATGAAGGCAAGTATTGATTAAGCATAAATAAAAGTTACAAAACATTTATATTTATGGACCAGGGAAGCACATGCTGTACAGGCTGATTTATGAGCAGGATTTGCGTATTTATGATGAAAAATAATGAGTTATTTAAAGGGCCCATGTTACGCTATTTTCCAATCTATGATATAATGTTGTTTGCTCATTACAAACAGACCTGAAGTTGTGTTTTGTTTCATTCACACATGTTTAACACACAAACCCTGCAGATTTAGGCTGAGTTCTTCTCAGAAAACAGAAAACGCCTTGTTCCACTTGGTGATGTCATGTGGTAATAGCCCTGGACTTGTGCTACAGAACCAAATGTAAAAGGTAGTTACACTGCTGTCACAGAAACACCACAATATCAAATCATCTGGCTCCAATTGACTTACATTAGGATCTTGTCGCTCCTCTCTCTGTAACTGCTGCAGTGAGCCTCGTCATTTTGGTCTTAAAATGTTCGTATTAACTTGCTCTACATGATCCAGATTTTTTTGTTGTTTTTTTTTTGCTATTTTGTTCGCCAAAAAAACCTATTCATAACATAAAGTCTGGCTCCAGATTTGCTCCTGTAACCGCTGGGCAAACTTTTTGACTTGTGGGCCACAACGGGTTCTAAAATTTAACGGAAGGGCCGGACCAGGAGCAGATGGATGGAGTTATTTGGTAATCCACCTCATAAGAAAAAATAAATAAAAATGTTACTGTATCACATAATTGAAAATCATTACAAAGCATTACAACAAAATATCTGTCTTTCAAGTCCCACGGTATTTATTATTTATTGAAATGGCTTTTAAAACATTGAAAATCATTATTATTATTATTATTATTATTTAAGTTGGGCGGGCCAGATTAAAAAGATTAAAGGGCCACATATGGTCCCTGGGCCGTAGTTTGGCCACCCCTGCGTTAGAATCACAAGCCTCTTTTGAGTTGAGCTGAATGCTATGGGTGACGTCACACTCGCTTAGTCCACTTCGAGTGCGGGTGAAAAGGGGCGTTACCTTCAACATTCTTGCTCTGGATTGGCTCTTTGGCTGCTATGATAGTTGCGATTGGATTTCGAAACATGGCTGCTCCATATTCGCCGTATAACCACCAGCCACAGTGAGCTTCATTTGACTGGAGCAGAACACTATAGGTGAAATCATACTCTCTCAGTCCTCTTCTTTATTCAGTCTTTGTTCGTAGGCCTTCATAGGTCAGTGCGCTTGTTCAAAATGCACCGTCACAGAATCCACACATTTATGGTCTTGGGCTTGATTATCCTCACCTCTCTAATGCCTTGCCCAAGAGCACGTTCAGCAGCGGACCACATGCTGCGTTTTGGGTTAAACTCCTGGATGGTGACTGAGGTGTGTTGGGATTATCCCCCTGGCCCAGATTCACAAGAGCTGAGTGAGCACAGAGGGGAAGAAACTGCAGCCACACAAACGTACAAAAGAAATGTGTAGGAGCACAAGACCTTTCTATGGTAAATATACTGTATGTACAAAGCAAAGATTCAGTTTATAATTGCAATTAAAACAAATGTCTGCAGTGGGAACATTCACTATGGTGTAATTAGTCCGTTAAAGATCCTATATTACACTAAATGGACTCTTGGAATCTAGTTAACTCATTGAAAAACACACTTGGAGTTTTGTTTTGTTTCATTCACACGTTTCATTAACCCTTTATTATTAGTCTGGCTACATCTCCAAAGCTCAAAATGCTCTGTTTCATCTTGTAAAGTGGTAGTTTTCAAGTTTACAGTTGCCTTTTGTTCAGTAGAGATCAGCAATTGAAGGGCTGAAATTATCCCAATTAATTCTAGTGGAACCACAATGGAGCACTTCCTGTAGAAGAACTCAACTTAACTGTGCTACTCCAGGTATGTCTGCGATGAGGAAACAACGTTATAACATAGTCCAGATCAGCATAATATAGTAACTGTAATTATGGTTTGATGTTTCAGTTTATTAGAGTTTTATTACAGTGTAGTCATGGTTTAATTGTGTTTTTATTGCTGCAATCAAAGCACAAAATAACTGGCTTCATTACGGTTCAAGTAATATGTACTTGTAGTTAAAGTGAGCTACAAGCAGCAAATAACTGAGTGGTTAAAGAGCTTGTGTTGCATTGTTTTAAGATCTATGTTATAATCTTGTTTGAAGGTAGCCTGATTCATCAAACAGTTTTTCTGACCTTGCACCATTAGAATTTGTTCGCTTGACGGTAGGCGGGTACTTTCTTATTTAACCAATCGCTGCTATTTGGTTGTGATATATGTAATGCACCTCTAACGGGGCTAACTAGTATATTAAGCTTTTCCCATATCCTGTAGGAAGAAGGGCAATAAGGTCTTTCCACTTGATAAAATTCACCAAACATTCTCTTTGTTCCGGCTTTAAATCCTCGATCTCGGTAATCATTGCCAACACAGAATGTATGGGTCTTCTCTGATTGGCCGGTGCCGGTGCACTTACAGGGTTCTTGCAAACCGTCTAGTGTATTCTGATTCCTGACCTAGTCACTGGAGATAAATTAATTTGAGCAGAATGCTCTAGGTGGCACCAGCCTGGCTAGTTTAAAGGGCCACTAAACACCAAAATCTTTTTTTTTTTTACTGATTAGCTGTGTAAATTGGTCTAAAATAGAAATGTATACCTATCCCTGACCTTTGACTTTTGGGTCAAAGTTGTAATGGCCTCTTTAGGATCAACTACGGCCAGTATATTTGAATTTTCGGGTTGGACTAACGGCCGCCAGTGAATCAGATGCAGGTTATTACTTGAGCCACTGGCGTCTACTGGCGGTATGTGAGGAGCCTCTCGCAGCCCCGCCCCTACCTGGCACCACCGGTCACTGTGATGTCCCGGAAAAATCTGGATTGGCATCATGTTGGATTGTTGTGGCTGTCAGTCAGCTGTCAATCATCGATCCTGAGCCCACCCCACACCCGCTGCCCTCAACCCACTGAGCACCACCCACTCTGAAGGACTTTTTCAGATTTTGATTAGAGGCGGGGTGAAGTTTCAGGAGGGTGTTTAATGTTAGTCAGGCTGGCGACACCTAGTGCCGCCGCTCAATTTCATTTCTCTCTAGAGACTAGGTCAGGAGTCAGAATACACGAGAAGATTTGCAAGAACCCCTAAATTTGTAGACCGCACATCGGCCAATCAGCGAAGAGCTGTGAAGCCATGACTGGGTCCCTTTTGTGGTACAGCACAACAGTAAACAAAGCGGTCGAGATGGATGTAGACGAAGACATACATTGTGTGTTGCCAACGATTCCCGAGATCAAGGATTTAAAGCCAGAACAAAGAGAATGTTTGTGAATTTGTGAATTTTATCAAGGGGAAAGACATTATTGTTCTTCTTCCTACAGGATTTGGGAAAAGCTTAATGTACTAGTTAGCCCTGTTAGCGGTGCATTACATATGTCACGACCACATAGCAGCGATTGGTTAAATAAAAAAGTACTTGCCTACCGTCGAGCGAACAAATCCTAATGCTGCGAAGTCAAACAGTTTCCACAAAGTGAAACCGGCTGATAAAACAGGCTAGTTTAACACACAGACTCTGCATATTTAGTTTGGGTTCTTCCCTCAAACACAAAACACACGTAATATATGAAGTTTTTAAACTCCATACATCTTCACTAGAATTATTTGGATACATTTATTCTTGGAATTGCTTATCTCAACTGAACTAAACATAAAAGGAGCTGTTAACGTGAAATCTACTGCTTCATGACATCACAAGGTGGAACAGAGGATATTGAGCTTACTCAAATATAAGTGAATGAAACAAAACACAACTCCAGGTATGTTTTTAATTAACATTCTAACACGGCTTAAAGCTCACAAGAATCAATTTTGTGTAATATAGCACCTTTAATCTGTAACTACATTCACATTAATTACAGTTTAATGTGAGTTTTTTTTATGTGAGTTTTTTTTACTGTAAAGAATAAAAGAATACACACTGATACAGGTCAAGAAGTTGCAATATTATTTATCTGAATGCACCTCCAAAAACAAGAATACAGATAAAGATTTTGTCAAAGTACTGAATGGATTCTGTGATGGCTCAGTACAGTTTCAGTTTTATTGTGGAGAGGTCTTCAGGACGGCTCGGACACTGTGGAGCAAATACAAAATATACATAAGGATTCAGAACTACACATGAACAATAAAGTTTCACAGCTTCTGGGACGGCTTCACTGCTTCTCTAGCATCGCCAATCTCGACTGAATTAATATGTAAAAGGTAGATGTAACTTGAAAACTACCACTTCATAGACAGACTAATAATAAAGGATTACTCAAACGTGTGTGAAATGTATAAATGAAACTAAACACAACTCCAGGTTTTTGATGACGTAACAACATTCTAACATGATTTAAAGCTCACAAGAGTCAATTTTGTGTAATACTTTGTCTTCACTGGGTGTGTACTATTTTAAAGCACCATACAAATGTAAACCCATAAGCAGGGAGGGGATTGAGGGGGGCACACTTGCAATTTTGGAAAATAAAGAAAGAACAGAAGAGTTATAATCACTACAGGGTGCTAATCTTGTTTCAAACTTGTTTAAAAGAGTAAAACAAACATGGTAGAGGGTGGAGGTGTGCTCACATCCACAAAAGACTCTAAATAAATATGTTAAGTCTGCACCGCCATTTGTTTTAGAAAAAAAAAGAAAAAGGAATTACTATGGATTTATATATTTTTTTGTTTTGTTTTTCTTTTACTCTATCTCTGAGCTCGTCCCCTTTTTCTCTTCCCTTCAACTTCAACGTGCTTTAGTTATGCACACACACATTATTATTTTATCTATTAACTGTTTTACTGTTGTTATTGTTGTTTTTGTTTTTTTTATCTGCAAACTGCCTCATTATGTCTTCTGTCTTGTAATTTGAATCATTAGTATTAGTATTAGTATTAGTATTAGTATTAGTATTAGTATTAGTAAAATGTCTGACTGCACCATTGCTAGACTCACCATTTGGACTTCTTCATAAGTTCCACAGCCTCCATGATCTGACTCAAGTCCATGTTGTGTGTGATAAGCTCATCCAACATGATCTTCTTTTCCATGTAGCGATTTACCATCTCCATCACCCCATCTTTACTTTTGAATCCTACCGAAAGGACAGTGTACATGTACTGAGAATACCCACTCAGAATACAAATTTTGAGTAACTGTATTTCAGTTCAGTTACTTTTTCATGTGGCAGTGTTCAGAATTCAGAGTTACTTTCTAAAATCAAAGGAATACATGACAGTACTTGATCACACAATTGCTTCAAACCACACAGTATTACTAAGAAAAGTATATAACCTCATTTTGCTGTTTGTTACACCTCTACACTATAATTAAAATTCTCCTCGATGTAAAAGTATTCAGAATACAGTTCTCTGATTGCTTTGTGTATCAGTACTATGTTACAAAATACATTTTAATGCACGTATTCCATATTCTGTAGCTAAATACATTTGCAAAATATTTTTCCCATCACTATAAAACGAAATATAGGTCCTGACTCGAATCAAGAAGTACAAGCACATGTGTCCTGTGCTCAGGTCTCTGCACTGGCCCCTGTGGCTCAGACAATAGACTTTTAAGCAGCTCTGCTTGTGTCTCTCCATGGCCGAGCACCAAAGAACATCTCTGACATGTTAGTGTCATATGAACCATCTGCACTCTGAGGAGCTCAGGGACCGGCCTCCTGCTGGTGCCCAGAGTCAGGACTAAACATGGGAAGTCAGAGTTTCAGATTTTTGCAGCTAAAACCTGGAACAGTCTTTCTGAAGATGTGAGACAGGCCTCTGCTTGAACTCTGTTTCCAGGCTCAAACTGGACTGAAAGGTTTTCATTTTTCATTCTGTACTCTTCTCTCTCATTTAATGTCTCTCTTTCTTTAAAATATGATGATGATTATTTATGTTTTGATTTGTTTGTATTGTGTTTTTTAATGTATTTCTTATCCTGTAAAGCACTTTGAATTGTGCTGTACAAACTTGCCTTGCCTTGGTTACAATCACATTTATGGTTTAATCATTATTAGGTTAGTTACCTCCAAACAGCGCCCCCTTCAGTGTGCGTCCAGTGATGAGGTCAGCAGAGTGAGCTGTGAACTTCTGGACTTTGGAGTAGCCCACGATGACACTGACCCCCCACACTGGGACTGTGGAGAGGAGGGCGCTCTCCTGCACAGTCACAAAAGCAGCCTCGTCAACAGCATACTGAAGTCAATTCAAACTCAATTTCTGTGCATCATTTTGGCTTCATTTTCTACAAAATTGTTTCTACTTTGGGCCTGTTTTTTTTTTTTTTTTTTTACTTGTATGTGTGATTTTGTATGTTTGTGTATTTGTTTACTGAGAAGGTGTGCAATCGTAGACATCATGCTTCCTGCTCCATCGACTCTCCAATTGACTTACGTTGAAAAATTGTCATCCGTTTCTCTGTAACTGCTGCAGTGAGCCTCATTATTTTGGTCTTAAAATGTTCGTATTAACCCGCTCTCTGTGATCCTGGTGTTTTTATTTCATTCTTTTGTCCGTAAATCAATTCCTATTCCTAATACAGAACTCAGCTCCAAATTCACTCCTATAACTGCAAGCGTTATTGAGCTTCATTTGACTGGACCGAGCGCTACGAGTGATGTCACAGTCTGTAGTCTACGGCTACATTTAGTCAGCAGGGCTTAATGCTCAATTTGGATTTTATTGTGAAATCCAATATTTTTGCGAGGTCGTTCACATTTCCAATTAAATGCAACCTGTATGTGATCTCCAGTGTGAACTTTAAAAACCCAAAAAGTGTCCCGCATGCACATTGGAGATCACGATAATGTCACAAGCAGCGAGCGTGCTCAGTGTTTATGGAACTCACCTAAACGCTGGGCTTGTCTCCCAAAATACAGTCCAGTTCTTTGTAAAACAGACAGATTACACATCCACGCCTGCTTCATTTGTTTGAGATTTTAGCCTTCTTGCTTTTGGCTCACAGGCTCTTTATTTTTCATTGACGTTAGAGCCAGGACCGCCTGTAGACATTTCTTGGGCAGTCATTTCAAAAACCGCCCAGTCCCGATAAGACCCCTCCAATTTGGCCTGACTACAGCCACTGACTCCACTGACTAAACTCCGAGCCTGACATGTAGGTGGGCTGAATGTGACCTGGCCGTTAAGACTGAAGTCGCATGTCAAAAGATCGGATATGTATCGGTTTTAGGACCACATATCGAATTGTCCTGGGTCGCATTTGAAAAAATCAGATCTGTGTCATTCAGAGTGTTATTAAAAGATCCGATACAGGTCACATAGGGGCAAAAAAATTGAATTTGGGTTTCTTCAGGCTGCAGTCTGAACGTAGCCTAAGTGTGCAATGTTCTTTTTTTTTTTTTATTAAAATGATATAAAAGCAATACAAAAGTATTACCACCAATACCCACCACAACCTCAGCCTTCCCCACACACTCCAAGGCGAAGTCCACTCCTCCGCTGGTCATCTCGAGCAGGACCTGGTGGATGGGTTTGCTGTGGTCTCTGGGGCTCACACAGTCAGTAGCTCCTAAAATCTTGGCTTTCTCAAACTTCTCGGAGCTTCGGTTCACAGCAATGATTCTCCTGGCCCCTGCCGCCTTACAGCCCATTATAGCAGCCAGACCTACCGCTCCGAGGCCAAACACAGCACAGGTGGATCCCTCCTCTACCTACAAAAACAAGCATTTAAAGACAAGTATTATTATTATGGTCCATTTATGAACACAAATCTCAACAAATACAAAATAATGAATAGATTTTATGTGAAGTTCTTAAATTGACTCAATCCTGCGCCCCTTTAAAACATTTAGCTTCATGCCTGCAGCTTTTTATTACTTTTATTCATCCTTTTTTCATCTTTTAGACTAACAGTGATGATTAGTATTGATTCTATTGTTTCCGGGCCAAATAAGAGTCGGGTTTGTGGAGCTGCAACGAAAATCACAGTTAGAATGCATACTTTCTACACTTAAAACATAAGACATTTACAAAAAAACAGGGTTGTAATTGGAGTTATTATTGCTTTGTCTAATCACACAGTTAGAAGTGTGAGATGATGTTCCACAGCACATGGACTTATATCTCACACTATATCTGGTACATATCAATGGGTTTCAAATAACACCACAACATTCTGTAGCATCGTTTCCCAAAAATTGGGTCACAACCCTTAGGTGGGTCACAAGAGATTTTATGGGGGTCGCCTTGTCACACTTTGCATGTAGGGCTGCAATATACAGTTCTGAAACATGAGATTTTCTGTGCTCACAAAAATGAAAACAAAGTACAGAAACAGACTGAATGCTGCGCCTGATATGCATGTTGCACTCTCCTCCTGCACCTGGACTGGAATGTGCTACAAAAAAATGCAGACAGGCCCACCTCTCTCATTAGAAATGTTGAAATGTTAAGAGATGTTTTGTATAGTTTCAATTTTTTTGTAATTATTTTATTGATATTTTGCTCCATTATTACTGGTTCAATTGAATGTTGAAAAGAAAAAGAAATGGGCCACATTGAATGTCCAAATAGGCGACTTATGGATCCTTTTTGTTTTTCTTTGTTTAAAACTTGAGTCATACTAATTGTTCAGAGAGACACGATCACTCAGTCAGCAATAAAATATCCTCATTAATGTCATTAATGGTCAAATCCACCTTTATTTTGTGATTTACGAATAATGTCTGTTGACCTGGGTTGCAAAGGTTTGTGACTTTTAAAATATGGGTCGCCAGAAAAAAGTTTGGGAAACACTGTTTTATAGTACACAGCATTCTATAATATTTAATACAGATGGGGGCAGCTAACTGCAGATTTTTGTTGTAATATAGCATGGACTTCAATCAATAATCAAAATGAGCAGGTTCCATATTTGGGAATTTACCTTTCTGATATTTCATGGCAAAGTAAAATGTAATCAGTAGGAAAAACTGGCTCTTGCCCCTCATCTGAAAGCAGAGGTGGCATTACCATTAGGCAAAAGTTGGCAGCTGCCTAGTGCCCCCAAACCTGGAGGTGCTCCCAACCAACTGCCCTTAGTGCCACTAATGGCTGAGGCCTCAGAGCAATTTAATTTTCCCTCAATATGACATTAAATGAGAGTACTTTACTTTTAAACAATCATGTGTAATGGATGTAAACAAAAATGTAATTGTACTAGCAAAAAAATAAAACTACTTTCAACTCTGGTTATCTAGTAGGCGACCTAACTAATAAAACCAGTTTACAATCCACCATAATTATAGTGAGAGCCCCAAACTCAAGTTCGCCTAAGGCCCCAAACTGTTAACTCCACCACTGTCTGAAAGCATCAAATTTTAGAATCTGGAAACTGCCAATATTTACAGCATTCTGACCTGAGCCACGTTAACAGCTGATCCATATCCAGTGCAGAGGCCACAGCCGATAACACACACTTTATCCAGGGGAGCGGACTCGTGGATCTTGGCCAGGTTGTATTGCTTGACCACAGTGTACTCTGAAAAAGTACTAACACCTAAAAACTGCAGTATTTTCTTGCCTTTACAGCTGAACCTTGAGTCTGGCGCTGTCAGAGAATCTTGGCGGACCTCACTCCTGTATGATAAAGATGTAAACACTGCATTGTAAAGCTATTTTCTGTGTTTATCGTGAATGATGAGGATCAGTGGTAAAAACTGACCATGTTTGAACGCAGTGGTTGGTTTTTGGAGTCTTGCAGAAATCACAGTCTCTGCACTGGGATATGAACAGGGGGATCACCTTGTCACCTCAAAGATAAAAGAGCAAATATTGAGTTAAAGAACATTGCATGATTTGTATTGTGATATTACACTGTTCATTATTCTTCTCACAAACATACCTGGAGTTGCATTTTGTTTCATTCGTACATGTTTTACAGTCAAATCCTGCATATTAGACTGAGTTCTTCTCTCAAACTGAAAACACTCTGCCCATTTCTACTAAACTAAATGGAAAGGGTAGCTGGGTCTGGTCAAGCGGTAATGGAGGGAAACAGGGGCAGATTTTTGACATTCAAATAGCTCTTATTCAGAAACTAGAGGGACTACTGAAATAAGTAAGGTATTAGAATGTAGGAAAGAGTTACACTCCAACAGGGTAAAGTTAAACCTGTGATATTATTTCAAGTTGTTCACAGTTGTTCACTTTTTGGGCAATAAATACAAACAGTGATAACTAGCGGTTCTCACTTACATATCCTTAACAAACTGGTTTGAATATTTGCTTCATATAGTTTTCTACCATATGGTACAAGATTAGGTTGAAAAACCTCTTACTTTTTAAGTAATGAGATTTTTTATTAAGAAAGGTCATGGTAACGGAGGGAAAAGTAACAGAGGTAAAATTGTGCAAGCAAGTAGAAGGTGCATGATTTTGCATAATTTGTCAACTTTTTTCTACTTTAATATTACTTCAAAATGAAAGGAAACTATTTCTATAAAATATGTCAGTCCTTCCAAGCAAATTTTTATCATTTTAAATAAATTTTTTGAAAAATCATGTACCTTCATCAACAGTTCAAAGATCGAATAACACAAGATATGATGAAATACATCCATTTATTTACATAATTTGCAGGTCTTTGAAATCTGAGAAATAATTTTTGTTCCATTTTGCAGACATGGTCTGTTTAAAACGTATGTAACTTTAGAACCAAAAATGGTACAGAAAAAAAGGTCAACAGTTTCATAAACTAGAGCACATATGTATCTGTTGAATACATTTTTATATCAGATGCATTAACTTGAATTTTTGGCCTTGCTGTTTACTTCTGCTTGACCGGGCACAGCTTTTAACTTCAAAATGATTGCCTGATGTTATGAGGCAATCATTTTCAAGTTAAAAGCTGTGCCCGGTCAACATTCTAACATGGCTTAAAGCTCACAAGAATCAATTTTGTGTAATTTAGGGACCTACTTAACTCATCTTAACAAACATGCCAAACATTACAAAGGTGCTCAGTGTAAATACGCAGTTGGAATGAATGCAATTTCACCACAAAACTCCTTTAAACAAGTTTGGTGATGTTTTATGGACTTAAAAAATGCAAAGAGTTTTTACCTCTGACGGCACAATCTAAGCTAGAAAAAAGTCAAATTTTCATGATATGCATTGTTTAAATGTGCATTGTGTAAGTTTTCTGGTGGAGGGTCTGTTAAATGCTTCTCTCCATGAATATATTATTGCTTTGTCTGGAATGTTTCACAGTATGGCTTTAAACCTTTCTATCATCATGGAGACCAAACCAGACCAGACCAAGTTACAGGTCAGATCTGTGGAGAGGTAACCCAGCTCACAGTCAGAATGCCTGTTTTTCTAGGTATTTTTGAGTGATAAAACTGCTTGTAATTGAATAAATGTGAGGAGGATAGAGTTGTTTAATGTCATACTGTGGAACATTCCAGCCAGGGCAATGACATGTCCATAGAAACTAGTGTTGTAGTCAAGACCGCACTAATCGAGACCAAGACCTGTCCAAGACCACAGGGCCCCGAGCCCGAGATAAGACCAAGACCAGAAAAAAATGGTTTCAAGGCTGGCCTCAAGACCAAGACCGGTCTTGAATACTACAACACTAATAGAAACAAGCAGGAGACGGACCAAAAAAGTTACAAAGTGCATCTTTAAGGATAAAACAATGTAATATTATATCTGACCAGGTTTGAATTCAGTGACTCCGGAGCCCACACTCTCCACGACTCCGGCTGCCTCGTGTCCAAGGACGACAGGGAAGCCATCTTGGGGCATTCCCTCATACAGGTGGTACAGGTCCGAGTGGCACACTGAAGTTGCAACAATCTATAGTATTTTAAGACAAAAATACAAATAAAGGGAAAGAGAAAAACATTGTATATAACCAGAGATATGTTGAGAAATGAATAACATCACAATGGTTGTTTTTGTGGTTAGGAAAAACTCAAAACAAAAGATTATTAAAGGAATCTATTATGCTATTTGATGATCTATGTTACAACTGTTTTATGGTGTTGTGTTTTGTTTCATTCACACCCTGCATATTTAGGCTGAGTTCTGTTCCACTTTGTGATGTCATGTGGTAATAGAGGAAATGCTCCACTGTGTTTTTAAAGTCTATACATTTTCACTAGAATAATTTGCATAATTTTCTGCCCTGAAATTCTACTGAACTACAAATGGCTGTCAACTTGAAAACTACCACTATGACATCACAACTGAGTAATTTGAGTTTTGGAGATGAAGACAGACTAATAATGAAGGGTTACTCGAACATGTGTGAATGACTCAACACAACTCCAGGTCTGTTTTGATGAGGTAACAACATTTTAACGTGGTTTAAAGCTCACAAGCATCACAGAGTTTGTGTAATCTAGAATCTTTAAAGTAAAACAATCTTCCACAGAAGGGTGTAAAGTGCCATTTATGCATTTTTGTCATTGATGTTGCTGTCCATTCATTGTTTGTGCCTCTATGAAGTAAATAAATAAATAAAATAAAAATATATATATAGTTATTTAAATTCACTTCATGTTTGTCCTCACCTGAACGCGGACCTCATTGGCTTGAGGTGGAGCCACTTCAATTTCTTCAATGACCAAAGGCGCATTGGGCTCCCAGGCGACAGCTGCCTTACACTGAATCACCTGAAGATGTAGCAACACCTCTTTAAAAGTGTACACATGTATACTTTGTGTATTACTGACAACTCTGCTCCATTTCATTTCTTTTCAGCGACTAGGTCAGGAATCAGTACACACTAGACAATTTGTAAGAACCCCGAAAATTTTAGACTGCGCACCGGCCAATCAGCGAAGAGCTGTGAAGCCATGACGTCAAACTCACGCGCCTGTCTGGGTCCCACAGCACAACAGTACACAAAGTGGTTGAGATGGATGTAGACGAAGCCATACATTCTGTGTTGGCAAGTTTAAAGTCGGAAAAAAGAGAATGTTTGGTGAATTTTATCAAGGAGAAAGACATTATTGCCCTTCTTCCTACGGGATTTTTCACTTTACTTACATCACAACCAAATAGCAGCAATTGGTTAAATAAAAAAGTTCCCGACTACCATAAAGCGAACGAATCCTAATGCTGTGAGGTCAGACAGTTTCCACCAAGTGAAACTGGCTGATGAATCAGGCTAAACTGAATGAGCCTGGCAAAATATAGACGATAAACAATAATGCTGAACCTAATGTATCTCACTCAGGCCCGCCCACTTTTGTCTCTAAATGCTCTTATACTGCATTTTTTTGTGACGGCACTTCCGGTTAAACATTTCTTTCATGTTTTTGGAATTTGGGAACCATTTTACATCTTAAATATGACATAAAGGCGGTTCACTTGTGTAAAATGTTCAGTGTTCATGTGCACCAAGGAGTCAACACTGCACCGATTCTCTGTGAGGTTTTACACCAGCTTTATGGTCCGTATTGAACTTAATTGCTGTAAAGATCTGCAGCCCCATACAAAATAACACAACCCGAATGATGATGGCAGGGCCCACAGTAACTTCTGGAATAAGGTGGATAACCATATGTACAATGTCTAACCACATGTAATGGATGAAAACAAAAATGTAACCAGCCAAAAAATAAAACTACTTTCAGCTCTGGTTATCTAGTACCTATGATACCGTTTAAATAAGACAATTTTATAATAGAGATGTGTGTGTCTCAAGAACAATGGAGGGAAAAAAACAAAACAATACAGTGTAGTAAGGGCCCCACACTAACATTGGCCTAGGGCGAACTCTGCCGCTGTGTCGAAATGTACAAAACTGTTACAAAAATAGCAGCACAAAATAAATAGCAGAAAAGAAATACTTGTTAGAATAATTATTGTGACAGGTCTAACTGAATGCAAACTGAAAAACAAACTTAAAATAGACATCACCTGCTTGCACATTTTACCCTTTCATGCAATGTTTGAACTATTTAAAACATGCATTTGCTATTGGTGATTCAAACATGTCAAATGCAAAGGTGCACTGTGTCACTTTTTGGTGGAGGGTCACCTGCTCGTTTCTACGGACATGTCATTGCTCTGTCTGGAATGTTCCACAGTATGGCAATTAAAACAGCTCTACTTTAGGTTTATTAAATTACTGATGGTTTTATAGCTCAAAAATCTGGTCTCCATGATGATAGAAAAGTAACATCACCACGGAGAAAAGCGCTCGATGGGCCCTCCACCAGAAAAGTTGCACAATGCACCTTTAACAGTTAGACGTAATGAGCCAGCTTCTCTTTGTCAATAAATAAAGAGAATAAAATGTAGCCTGACCTTTCCTGTTGTGGCCATGATCCAAATGTCTCAAGGAGTCCGAGTTTGAGAAGACTCTACTTGGCTCTCACAGCTCCGGTGGCTGAGTGTACAGAAGCATGTGTGGACTCGTATAATGTATACATAAACTACTGCTCCACTGGTTTGACCTGTTAAGGGCAAGTTTTGTGTGGTCTTTTTAAACTGCACATTTTTGCTATCGCTCCTCAGCTTGTAGGCATGGCAACCCACCTCATGATTGACAGCTCCAAACATGCTGGGGAATGTTTAGGTATAAAAGGAAGAGACTAAGAAGGCAGTAAGACGAAGGAATGGACAAGGAGATAAGGAGTTGGTGGAGAGAAGGTGTTTTAAACTTGTAATGTTCATATTTGCATAGTTTTTATCCTTTTGCATGAAGATGATTCTCCACCAGTTGGTCCACGACTGTACCTAAAATCAATGAGGACAATTCAATGCAGACAAAAGTTAAAAGGAAAAGGGAAAAGGGAAAAAAAACATCTAAAAAAAAAGTGGCTTAAGTTGAGATGGTCACATAATATCACAGATCCTCCAAATCACCAAAGAGACCAAAGAGCCTGCCTATCATTGTGATCAAAGAGGAACCTAATTCACCAGAGTCCACAGATCAAGTGATAGATGATTCCAGCTGTGTTACATCTGCCCAAAATAACCCGACCAACCCGACCAAAGCTGGTGGGAAAAAGCAACCAAAAGCAAAAAGGCAAAACAGGAAAAAGAAGACCTCTGAAAAACTCTGCGTAAAGACTTGCAGAGTGGAGATGACGTGCAGAACAGAGACACCTGAAGGGAAAGACCCATAAAAAGACTTTGGAACCTTCAGTTAGAGTCCAACAACAATCACTAAAGACTAAAAATAATGCATAATAAGGACATAAAACCAACAAAGAAGCCAAAAGTTATGCCCAAAGTCAATCAACCAGAGATGGGCAGATGTAAGAGGCAGGAAAAGTTTAAACTTCCTGAACATCAGGGGAATGTTGAGGAACCAGGGGCGAAGCATCTTTCTGAGAGACATACTGTATTTTCAAAGGATTTTTTCAAACTTCTTCGCAGTTTCAACAAGAGTGATGGTGATACTGATGCTTTTTTGGATAAATATTTGAACTTGCTCTCGAAGTCTGAGGAAAAAAAGAAAAAAAGTGAATCACTGGCTTACATGTTTAAGTACTGAAGCCCATCATGACGCCACCAACAGGGCCAGCTCCATTTTGAGGATTTTTAGCCATTGAAAACATAAAGAGCATCAATGTTTTCAACAATTTGTTACTTTGGCAATGGCAAAACATCAAAACCTAACCTACTTTATCTGTTAACTTTATTTAGATTTTAATTTTCAGAAATTCAAACTTTTAGACTTTAACTTACCAAACTATTAACCTGATTCATCAGCCCGTTTCACTTCGTGGAAACCGTCGGACCTCTCAGCATTAGGATTCGTTCGCTCGATGGTAGGCGTTCACTTTTTTTATTTAACCAATCGCTGTTATTTGGTCGTGACGTATGTAATGCACCAAATCCTGTAGGAAGAAGGGCAATAATGTCTTTCCCCTTGATAAAATTCACCAAACATTCTCTTTGTTCCAGCTTTAAATCCTCAATCTCTGGAATCGTTGCCAACACAGAATGTCTGGCTTTGTCTACATCCATCTTGACCACTTTGTTTACTGTTGTGCTGTTCCACAAAAGGGACCCAGACAGGCGCTTGAGTTTGACGTCATGTCTTCACAGCTCTTCACTGATTGGCCGGTGCGCGGTCTATAACTTCCAGGGTTCTTGCAAACCGTCTAGTTTATTTGGATTCCTGACCGTGTCACTGGATAGACATAATAGAGTAGTAGTAGTTAATTTGTAAACTACTAGTAAACAAGTAAACTTAGGTCTGAAAAAAAAAATGCTCATGGTAGAAAGCCACGCCTCCAGGCCCCCGTAGATCAAACAGGTTAACAGGATGTTCAGAACCACGTTGCTGCAGTCTGCTCAGTGGTCAGTAGAGTGTAGGAAAGGACACTCTGACTACAACCATGTTTCAAACTAATAAAAATAAAGGGACAATTTAATGATTTAGATATAATTTGAAATCATTTAATTATACTTTTGACACACAATGATTTTAAACTTTATTGGGCAACCAGGAAGATGTGATTACACTGTCTGGTGTAGTTCCCAACACTGGGCTCACCGACCAACTGGGATCAAACCCTTTAAAGTAAATGTGATCAGCTGTAAAATGAAGACTGCATACATATGTGCTGTTTGGAATCATCTTGAATGTGTCGTCTCATCTCTTCTTCGCATGTACCAGGTGCGCTCGGAGTTGTGTGTCAGTGGGGAAATGATGAAAACTGAAGTATGGTTGTAATTGTTGATTAGCCAAACATAATGGAATTCTACAATGACATGGAGATGAAAAAAACTGGGAAATTTTCTAATTTTCCTAGATTTTGTCAGAATTTCTACCGCAAACAGAGCTCGAAGGAAGTTGTAATCGCATCCAAACATCTTCCTGGTTTGTGACATAAGCGTGAATAGAGCCTATTAAGAGAGAACAGGGTGTTTTCTGTTTTAGAAAAGAACTCAACCTAAATATGCAGGATTTGTGTGTTAAACATATATCAATAAAACAAAACACAACTCCTGGTATGTTTTTGATGAGGAAACATCATAACAGATCAGAAAATAGTGTAATATGAGCCCTTTAACACAGTAAAAATCAGGTACAGCGCTGTTAATATTGAGCAAATAAACTCACAACTTTAGACTTTCTCCTGCATTTTTCACAAACATCACATGCATTCTCCTCAATACCAATACTATATTTCTCTTTCGCTAAATGACTATTTGCACCTGCCTCCGCCTCTAGACACCGCCACTCTTCACACTAGCACATTGGTGAATAATTGAACTCCACATTGGTGAATATTCCATGACTCCCGGGAGCTTAAGGGAGAGTGGACTAAAATGACATTCTTCTAAATGTATGAGAAACTGGGTCAAACTCGGGACCAGTCCCAGTGGGACCCCAGTCTGCTCCGAATTTTCACATCTGAACATGTTCCATACATTATTCATCGTTTCAAAGGCACTTGAATTTATAGAAGGTAGTGACCCGTGTTGGTTTGTCGTCATTATTCTGCATTTTAAAACAGTTGGAGATAAACAGGAGAGTGGAATGACTTTATAAATTAAATACTCCTTATCTTAATGTCCACTGGTTTGAATGAATAGGTGTTTTAGTTAAAGGTGCACTATGTAACTTTTGGTTGAGGATCTGTCACCTGCTTGTTTCTATGGATATGTCATTGCTCTTCCTGGAATGTTCCACAGTATGACATTAAAGGGCTCTACTTTACATTTATTCAATTACAAGTGGTTTTATTGCTCAAAAATACCCAGAAAGGCAGGCATTTTGACTGTGAGTGGGGGTCACCTCTCCACAGATCTGGCCTGTAACTTGGTCTGGTTTGGTCTCTATGAAGATAGAAATGTTGAATGTCATACTTAGAAACAGTCCAGACAAACTAATAGAGCAACAAAGCCTCCACCAGAAGTGTTACACAATGCACCTTTAAGTAAAGTACACATACCTAATTTTTTTACTTAAGTATAGTACTTTACTACTTGTACTTCTTTATCTTTCATCATTGATTGGACTCGAGCATAAAAAAATACTTCGGAGTGGATCAGTGGTGGAAGGTAACAAAGTACAAGAGCAAAAGTACAATACTTAAGTAGAATTTTTAGGTATCTGTACTTTACTTAAGTATGTTTTGTGGATACTTTTTACTGCAGATATCTGCACTTTCTCCTCCAGTACATTTTAGATCCAGCCTGATTCATCAACTGGTTTCACTTCGTGGAAACCGTCTGACCCCGCAACATTAGGATCTGTTAGTTCGACGGTAGGCGGGTACTTTTTTTATTTAATCAATCTTTGCTATTTGGTTGTGACGTATGTAATGTGCCAAATCCCATAGGAAGAAGGGCAATAACGTCTTTCCCCTTGATATAATTCACCAAACATTCTCTTTATTCCAGCTTTAAATCCTCGATCTCGGGAATCGTTGCCAACACAGAATGTCCGTCTTCGTCTACATCCATCTTGACCACTTTGTTTACTGTTGTGTTTGTGCTGTACCACAAATGGGACCTAGACAGATGCTTGAGTCTGACATCATGGCTTCGCAGCTCTTCACTGATTTGCCGGTGCCGGGTCTACATCTTCTGGGGTTCTTGTAAACCATTTAGTGTATTCCGAGTCCTGACCTAGTCACTGGAGAGAAATGAAATTGAGCGGAGGCACAAGGTGGTACCAGTCTGGCTATTTTAGATCTGGACTGAAAAGTAAGTATTTTTTATTATGAGTTGAAACCTTCTGAAAAAGCTGAGACTCATTTAATTTAGTACAATAACATTCCAAAATTGAGCAAACCAAATACACAAAAAACAGTTAGAAACACTAAGAAATCAGTTGACATCTTTACCAAAATCACTTTAATAGTTCCAAATACTTTTACTTTTTAGTCTTGAAGTGCAATTTAAACAGGTACTTTCATACTTTTACTTGAGTGATCTTTTGCCCAGGATCAGCCCCTGTATTTACTTGTGGTCTACAGTGGGAAGCATCATCTATCAAAAGTGTTGGACCACAGTTGTGCTAAAATGTTAGCTGGCTCCAGGCATGTTTCTGTGTGAGTCATTGTAACCTGTGGCCAAATAACTAATCTTTATATTCCTGCTATGCACACTGTGAACCATTCAGACCTGTTCTGTCAAGCAGGAACTCTCCCTGTAGGTGCGGAGAATGGACTTTAATCTGCAAAAGCACAAACTGTTTCTCCAATATCAAAACAACAACGGCCAATCGCAGCACGGAGAATTAGATGGGGAGGATTTTGAATGGACTCAGCGGCGTGTGTAATTCTCTCCGTTTGTCTTTCCAGCGCTCGGCTTCCTGTGCGGTCGGAAATATATTTGATTTAGATAAACGAAAGCGG